AAAAAGACAACATTATTAATTGCAAAAGTATATGGGGGGAAGAGTTCAACACAGTCAAGGATGGCTTCAAAGACCCAGAAACAAAAATGAGGGCAAGCCTGAAAAGGGATCATTCAGAGTCATTTGGTTTATAACCCTCTTTTCTCTTCTTCCTTTTTTTCCCTAATTTACTTGGAGGCATACTTAGATTTCTTCCCCCTTTAAAGGGGGGGGGGGAAGGAAACTATTTAAAGAGCCTTGTGGCATAGGTTTTACAGAAAATAAATAATTATAATTAAGTATAGTTACTGTACACATGTGCAGCTTAACAATATCTGAGCTACAGGGGAAACAGACAAGTCTTTGAGCAGTCAGAAACTAAATAATGGGCTAAAACTTCATGAAACAGGCAAGTAATCATCTCATCAGAACTAAGTACCAATATTAAGATACCAAGAGCAACAAGTAAACTAGACCAAAACTTTGGTCTTGTTTTTTGTTTGTTATTATTAAGATTTGGTTCTCATACAGAAAATTCAATGGGTAAAGAATCATTTCATGTCCACTGGCTCCCAGAAATCTGAAGTAGCGCTGCCAAACTAAAGAATTTCCAGCACCTGGATGAGTTATGTGCTAGTTCTTTAAACAAGTATAAAACCATAGTTCATACTTCTTAAATGGTAATATAAAAAGTCACAGATTATTCATGGAAATAATAAGTCTTGGTTATCAAAGCCCTCCAGATGTCTAGACATGTCATGCAAAAAAAAAAAAAAAGTCATTTTAAGTCCAAAAACTAGTTATTTTAGTAAGACATAGCTAAAATAAATCTGAATTATTTTAAGCATTTAGAGAACCACCAGAAAAAAATTTTTTTTCCTTTTCAGTTCCAAGAGCTTAAATGAAACATTCATGCATTAAATTCAAAGTCTGACTGTCAAATCATTTCACTTTAATAAAAATTTGAATTACCTGCCTTAGGGCATTATTAAATATCAAATAGAAAGCACACATCCTTAAGTCTGATTTCCCAATATAATTTTTATGTAGAACTATGACTAGATTTCTATTACACATTTCAAGATAAAAGGGTCAAAAATGTATTCATAGAAGGATGAAGTCCAAACTGGAGTTGCCTTTGAAAGAATTCCTGCACCATTCTTAGGAATTTGGGGGAAAGTGACCCCTCTTAAGTCATCTCAGTCACCAAGACAAGGATACAAATCCATCCTCCTTTGAAAAGACCTAGATCGTAATTAATTTAAAGCCTTGAAAAATTATACATTATCTTCCTATCGTATAAGGAATATGAAGCATCTGAAATACGCATAATCTCATCGACAGCATTTCAGTCTGTGTGCACGTATGGGGGAGATAAAAGATTATTTAGATAAAAGATAAAAGGGTTATTTAGATATTTAGAGAAAGGCAACTCTGGTCTAGGGCTAGATGTGGATCAAAAGTTCATGGTAATAATGTGATTTCATAAAAAGTGTCATTTACAGTTACTGATATTCAGAGAGGACACAAAACCTAGACTGGGGAAAATTAACAAATTCACATTCACCAGACCTCACCACACACCTCCGGCCAGCCCACCTGCCCCTCCTACTGGGTCACTCCTGTGAGCCCCCCATCCCCCTTCCCCTCTGCTCCAGTCTCCCACCTCCCCTCCTCTCCCACCTCTCCTAGCTGCAGCCCCATTCTTCCTTAAATAAGAAAGGCAAGTCATGGAAATGCTAACTCTACAAACCACCGCCTCCGTCTCTCTTCCTATTACAGCCCAGAAAGTGTCCCTTCTTGTAACAAAGGCAATCGCCACATTTGCTTAGGATTTCATTGCCTTTCTTTTTTAGTAATCCCTACACCCGGGGTGGGGCTCGAACTCAAGATCCCCAGATCAAGAGGCTCATGCTCCTCCAACTGAGCCAGCCAGCCACCCCAGATTCCATCCCCTCTCAAGTCTTCAGAGACCGCACAGCTAGGATTAGCCCCCCTGAGAAGTGGCACCTTCATCGCCTCCCACCGACTGGCTCATTACCCCAACATACAGACAAGTGCTAGTGGTTTTTTTGTTTAAAAAGTGTCCCTGGATCCCTTCACCCCCTCTACTGCTGCAGCCTTCTGCTTTCCTCCCACCCAGCTCATCAACAGCTGCCATCACACCTTATCTCCCCCTCCTCCCTTCCCACTGGACTCCGCTCTGCTGCAACACGCACCCCTCCTCGTCACACCACCCTCACCGCAAGCTCCCTGGGCGCACTCCCTGACTCCTGCCGGGCAGTGGGTAACAAAAGGGGCTCTGCCAGCCAGGCTGCCTGGGTCCAATTTCAGCTCTGCTGCTCCAAAGACTGCGTTATCTTGGCCAGTGATCTAACTTCTCCGTGCTTCTGTGAACTTATCTACCAAGTCTCACATTAAATTTTGTGAACACTTAATGAGACAATCCCATGCAGCATCAGAACATGATACGTGTATATCCAAGCTCCACGCCAATGACTCAATGACTCCCATATTCGGTTCAGACCTCCTTTCTGATCTCCGCTTCTGAAAGTCCAGTTAGCTGCATGAAGGGTCCATTAGTGCGACTGACAGACATCTCTCATTCAACGAGCTCCAACTCAACTCTTTGTAACTTCCCAAGAGTCTCCTCTGGTTTTCCTGCTGTCATTCGATGACGGCACTTGACCCGCCAGTTTCTAAAGCCCCCAAATCCCAGTAGTTATCTTTGATATTTCCGTCTCTCTCCACCATCATCCAATTTGTCAACTAGGTACTATCACTTTCAAGGTCTACTAAACATACTTTAACTTCTCCCCATCTCCATGGCTCCTGGTCTAGTATCCGAGTCTCTGTGTCTTTCACCTCGGCTACCCAGCAAACTTCTAAAATATCTCCCTACTCCTGCCCCTGGCCCACTATCATCCAATCTGTTCATTCCGCAGCTACCATGATCTACTGGAAACGTACATGAGGTCAGGCCACACCCCTGAGCAGAAGTCTTTAGAGGTTCTCAGTGCATCAACAGCAAAATAACGATGCCTTATCAAGGCTGACAGGGCCTCCAAGATAAGAGTCCTGCCCCTTTGAGTCCTACACCCCAGACACACAGGGCCTTCCTATGTTCCTCAATGCATCAAATTCTTCCCTCCACAGGGAGTAGCCCCTCAGGGCTTTTGCAAAAGATACTCCCTCTACTTGAAATCTCCTTCACTACCTTTTTTTGTTCTTCTCATTCATGGATTTATTATAAGTTGTAGTTGTATGTTTTCTGAAATATCTATTTTAGTATTTATTTTTCCACTCTCAGGCTCCCCACAGGAGATTCTGTTTTCTGAGAGCAGAGACATCTATTCTGACCTTTGATACCCAGAACCAATCCACGGTAGTGATTTTTGATCAAATATAATTTGAATTCTTTAGTCCCTCCATCATAAGGCTTAGCTGCAAGCAGTCTTGCATGTTCTCTCATGTTACCACATACGAATTACGGAAAGTCCCTTCGCAGTCCTACCAAAGCAACTTTGCCTGGCCCTCACCCTCTCCAAAATCAGAAGAGGAAGAACCATACCAACTAATTCAGAAACGAAGAGTCAGGGAATGACTGGCATGTGGCTGGCTGATACATGCCACGTGTAGCTCTCAAGAATTGCTAATGGGCCAACGGACATTCAAAACGCAAAGTGTTATGTGTCACGATGGATTCAAAGCAAAATGAACATGTTTCAACCCTTTAAAAGCTTGACTGTAACACAGAAAGTAAGAAATACACAAACAGCTAAATGGAAGAAAGAATGTGAATAGAAAGGTACAATGTAAGGGAGAAGCAGAGAATTCGTGCTGAGAACAGGATTTGGGTTGAGCCTGCAGGGTAGCTAGGATTTCAACAGGCAACAAGAGGGGTGGGAAGGACTGTATGAGCAAAGCACATTCACAAAGAAAAAAGACAGTTTGGATGGAGTACTGGATATATATGGTTCCAGTGATAGAGAAGCAAGAAAAATGGATTGGAGAACACATGGATAAAATGATCACCTCTGAAAATTCCAATGTCAACTGTCTAGGTCAAGACACTGTCTGAGCTTCCCGAAGCCAGAGACTTCTATTCATCTGTGACTCCCAGTCTATATCATACCACTCGCACAGTATGTGAGCTTATACTCACCACGGTCCATTATACCAAGTCCAAGGTCTGTCCTGTTTACCTATGTAACTTCCAACAGATGCTTTCCTCTGTGGGAAGCAGCAGTTGGCCAGCTGTGCGCTGACCTATGTTATGCACTCTTAGGTAATTCACGAGGTAAAGAAATAATCCAGGATATAGTCGTTTATGTATATTTGATCTTTCCCATGTCTGTGAGATTTTATTTTGTCAGCTCTTTGGGGATAAGGTATGCACATATTCAATCCAATATATTAAAATGCATAGATTATATTTCAGTCAATAAAGAAACGTACCTAGGAAGTGCTTCTTGATCTTTCAAATAAAAGCACTTCCACAGGACAAGGATTTTAATGCACGCCAGATCTGCCCTCGCCTACCCCGATAAAGAGGTCAAACCTGCATTAGACGAGGGTCAGCCCTGAGGCTCACATACCCCTCCAGAGGATCCCTTTATGTTCCTCAGTCATCAGGAGCTGACTGCTGCCATTTCAAGGGTGCAGCACAGGGAGCCCTAAAAAGGACTTTTACCTCTTTACCTTGAATAAAGAGGGGATGCTTCTCTGCCTTGGGGCTCCTTACCTGATGAAGGCCAGTAGTTAAGCAAAATGGGAATTTTAATTCCCATTAGGCTGCTCTGGTGGGAAAATACAAGGATCGGAGGTTCTTTTTCAAATACTGCATGAAATTTTTAAAGCCACCTGACTTGTAATTAATAAGGTTTGAGAACGTGTCATCACTTTTATCAAAGCGAAGTGCATTCACACTGCTACATCATCAGGATCACCATGAGACTAACTCTGGTGTGACAGGTTTACATGACTGGGAGCCCCATTTTCCTTACTCAATCTGCACATACCCAGATGAAGGCCGTCTTGTTCCCATTCTCTCTGGCTACTGAAATGCGGCTCTAATGACTCTGTCACTAAGTGGCTGAGTGGGTCTAAAATTGTCTCCCAAAACCCCATCACAGCCTTCCACGAGCTCTGCCCCCTTCACATGTGTCCTCAGCCTGCGAAATTCTTCAATCTGAAAATAAAAACAGAGCAGAACAGCTTGATTATTTACTAGACATGAACAAGACTGGAGTTTCCTCAGTGACTTAAAATATGCATAAATTGTAGCAGTTTGTAAAAAGAAAATGAAAATTAATCTTTAAGAAGAGTAAGAATGGGGGGGGGGCCTGGGTGGCTCAGTCGTTAAGCGTCTGCCTTCAGCTCGGGTCATGATCCCAGGGTCCTGGGATTGAGCCCCACTCCCTGCTCCGTGGGAAGCCTGCTTCTCCCTCTCCCGCTCCCCCTGCTTGTGTTCCCTCTCTCGCTGTGTCTCTGTCAAATAAATAAAATCTTTAAAAAAAAAAAAAAAGAAAAAAAGAGTAAGACGGACTTAATTCTTCCAAACCTAGTAAGACATGAGACATCACTGCTGCACGAGAAATGGAGACAGCAGAAGGAGAGGTAGTAAGGTCTCCAGACAACCCCAACAGCCACAGAAACCTGCTGGATTTGCTCACGCCAAAATGCAATACACCTCTCTCTAAAAGCTCTCAACACCTATCTGTAACATAATAAGAGGTGAACAAATGAGTAAGTGTTCCAAGCATAGCTTTAATTAATGAATTCCAGTATTACTGTATGTTAGCACTGATCAGGCGTTAGATTTATCAGATGGAGGTGTCCTTCATCACAGGACAGCGGAGAGTCCTGTGATGAAGGACTCTCCTTCCTCCGCTGCTCTTCTAGCTTTTCGGAGAACACTGGTCCAATGAAAACCTCTGACTGTCCAAAAATGTAAGCCCAACTTCCCCCCTTAGCAGTATCAATTTTCACGTTCATCTCCCTTTCTCAGGTGGCCTCCCCAGATCCCATGGATTCTCCTTACACGTTAAGAAAGTCCCAGAGTCCCAAGGGTCAGTTTCTCCAACTTGACAGGTCTGCACCCCCTAAGAACCTTCCGAGGAGTAGCTGAACCCTCCGAAGAGAAGCTGAACCCTCTGAGGAGTCGTGGAACCCTCTGAGTAGCTAAACAACAAGCAAACGTGATGAACGTTCCCCAGACTCATTCCCATCAGTCCATTTATCTACAAGACTCATCATCTGCCATTCGCTTAAATGCCACATGGTCACATGACACAGTCCTCATTCCTTTCACAAAAGAGGAAACTGAAAGATTAAGAGAGTTTCCATGTTAGCTGGGTCTGACAAGTCCACCTGCTCTTCTCCCAGCTCCACTGCCACTTCTTCAGAAATTCCCATCAACCCAGTATAACCTGCATCCTCCATATATCACAGGATATGGAACTGCTTTAAACAGCATCAATCCCCCAAGTCTGCCAGGTGTGTATCACAGGGCTTTATCTACAAAAGTTCTTCCTACAGCACAGCCACAGAAGTCTGCCATTCATGAACTAAAATGAAATGCAGGAGATCCATGAATTCGGGGGTTCTAATAAAAGTCTAGACACCCATAGAGACTTTAGGGACTCATGAAACCCCTGAATGATACGCAAAATTTTACATGTGCATTTCCTAAGAAGAGGCTCCCGGACCCCAAAAGAATGGACTCTCACAGGATTCTAATACTCTGACAATTCACATACATGTTGGGAAACAGAGCTGAGGGAAAAGGAAGTCGCTTGTTATATTAGAATGCAAGTTAGAAATCTAATCTCTAAGGTCTTATTTTCTCACGTCTCCAAATGATTTCCCTAAATGTTGATTTCCCTACATGGGATAAGACTGACCCACTTGGTACTGTCCTGTTTTTTGCTTTTTTATCATACCTACGTGCTGTCCTTCTACAGAAGTGCCAGTGACATAAGCAATTAGCTGTTTAATCTACACAGTGGTATTTCCCTAGACCTTCTTGGGATCTTAGGTTGGGAATATAATATGGGCATCACCTATTGTTTGCTGCACCTGGAAAACTTCCAGAGCCAAGTCTGCAGGAGAATCCCCTGTCCTTATTTGTGGGATGTATTTTTACTGAGTTCTCTCTAAGCATGGAGTGGAAAGGAAACTAGTCAGGCTTTTTCAAACAGGAGAATATGGAGGTGAAGGCAGTTGGCTCTGCATCAAAAGTCCAGTTCAGAGGCACCTGGGTGGCTCAGTTGGTTAAGCGACTGCCTTCAGCTCAGGTCATGCTCCCAGGACCCTGGGATCGAGTCCCCCATCGGGCTCCCCACTCAGCAGGGAGCCTGCTTCTCCCTCTTCCACTCCCCCTGCTTGTGCTCTCTCTCTCTCAAATAAATAAAATCTTTTAAAAAAATAAAAATAAAAAATAAAATAATATTTTAAAAAGCCCAGTTCACACCCTGGCTCTGACACCTAAGACCCAAACGGCCAGGCTACGTCTCCTCTTTACACTTCAGCAAGATAATTCATGAGAATCGCTCAGCATACTTCCACAGCACACAGAAGTGTTCAGTAGATACTGGCACAACTTCTTTTGAAGCCAAACCTTTAGCATCTTGAGATAAATATTTAGCTAAACTTTTCTGTGCAAAAAGTATACTGGAAATAATAAACCAATTGACTGAGAAAACAGAAAGTCCTGCCCTCTTCGTACCCCCTTTTACATGTAATCACAAGTAATGGCAGCAACTAGAATCCACACGCTATGCACAGGGTCACCGATGAGCAATGCAGACTAGAAAGCGTACTGCCTAAGCATATTTTAAGGAAGACTCCATTTCTGATTGACTTTGAAGCTTATTTTAAAACTAGGTTAATTTTATATTTACATATTCTATAGTGACGAATAAATCTTTCAAGTCCCAGACCTCAACCTGAAGCAAATAATGTGAAAACAGCTTCTAGAACAGACGATCAGAATCCATAGCCAGCCAGTCTCAAATCACTGCATTCTTGGGAGAGAACTATTTCACAAGAAATGTTTTTCTCTGATCATAGCAACACTTTGAAGACTTCAAACATCAACAGAGATCGAGGGGAAAACACGTCTTTCTGAAATGCCAATTTTTCTGAAGTAACCACCCCTCAAAACCTTTAGTCACTTCAAATGGTTTTAAACGCGTACTGCGGTATCTCCCACTGAAGAGAGAGAGAGTGAAAAACGAGCAGAATAATATCAGGATAAAAGTCTGCAACGAAATTCAAATGTCAGGGCAGTACAGAGACTATCACACGTATCAGTAGGGATGATTTCGTCAATTTTTAATGCTACTCTACTTAAACATGGCTATTGGTTTTTAACCAATTTACAAGAGAGAAAGAGAGGACAGAAACCCAAGCTTCAGGGAGACATGCTTGTCTTCTGAAGGTAGCAGAGTTGAACAGCTATTCTCTGAATCGCGCGTGCACTCTGCTTGGTCTAAAGCATTGACTCCAACCTTCACTGACTCATGAACCAGATTATTCACTCAAAGTTCAGCTTTAAAACCGTTTTCTTTAGGAGTGCATTTAAAGTGCTAATTTACAGGGCTTAGGGTTTGGCACTAATTATTTTTTAAAGTTCCCAAGTTCCTGTGCATATGCTCTCACAAATGTCTTTTCACTTGCATCTCTGTTACCACGTTAAAATTAAGAGAAAAAGAACACATCAAAGTCAACGTTCCCATCTTTTTTTTCTTTTATCATCAAGCAATGAAATACATGAATTAGAGTAATATAATTCCTGATGGAAGCCATCAAGAGTCAAAAGCCAGCTATACTTAAATAGTCCATAAATAATGTATATATACTGAGATTATGTCATTGATAGGACTCTCCGCCTTTCATGTACTCAGTCTTATTGTTTTTATTTCATTTTCTTCAACCCACTATCTCACTTTTTTTCTAAAATCATTGTTTTTTTTAAAGACTTCTCATCCACAAACCAACTCATCTGTCACTGACTCCTTAGTCTCATCTTTCTAATTTTTCTGAGGAAGAGCTCAGAGAAGAGAAGATCTTCTGCCCAGTACGACTGATGCCAACTTGCCCTTCTTCCAATCCCCAGTCCTGGTCTCTGCTAGGGGTCTTCCCATCTTCACTTGAGGGCAGCTACTGAGGAGCTACACATAACGCAAACTTAGTCAAGAATTACAGTCTAGGGCGCCTGGGTGGCTCAGTCAGTTAAGCATCTGCCTTCAGCTCCGGTCATGATCTCGGGGTCCTGGGATCGAGTCCCGCATCGGGCTCCCTGCTCAGCGGGGGGGCCTGCTTCTCCCTCTCCCTCTGCTTGCCACTCCCCCTGCACGTGCTCTCCCTCTCTCTGTCAAATAAATAAATAAAATCTTAAAAAAAAAAAAAAAAAGAATTACAGTCTAGAGTTCATGACCACAGAGGAAGCACTCTCTATCATGGAAGACACTGAGGAAATACATCCCAAACTCCCCACAAGTGCCTAAAAACCACACATTTTAAGAAAGGGAAGGAGTGTCCCAGGGGAATCTAGGGTTGCACTATCTCAGTGTGGCCACTGAGCATCTGAAATGCGACTGGTCTGAACTGAGATGTGCTGGCAACGCAGGACATACCCTGAAGTCAGATTTAGCATGAAGTAACCATGTAAAAAATCCCACCCATGCTTTTTTATATTCATTGCATTTTAAAATGGTATTTGGGGTACAGTGGGTTAAAATGTACTATTTCAATTCATTTCAGCTATTTATATTTAGCTTGTTTTATTGTGGACACTAGAAATTTTAATCTTATGTGGCTCACATGGTTTCCACTGGATAGTCAATGCTTTCCTTAAGAAACTCTGCATTCTGCTATTAGAATGCAGTTCTAAATTACATACGGAGGTAAACGCCAGTAGACAAGAAACAGGGGTCCTCAAAGTGTGCTTCCTGGAATAAGTTCCTCTCCCAGTCCTACTGGATCGGCAACTCTGGGGTGGAGCCCAGCAATCTGTGTTCAAACAAGCCCACCTAAGTTTGAGAATCATGGATACGGAAGAAAATTCACAACAAATGTTCCCCATCACTTGAAATCATGTTCAAACATGACCATGTGGTGGTCCCACAGCAACTTGGGTCTTTAGAACCCATGTGGGAAGCACACAGACAAGAAAGGCCCTGCTGC